TTTCTCTTATAATTCAAAACTCAATTAAGTTTTGAATTTTGTATATGTTCTCTCAGGATTTCTTTCTGTAAAAATAGTAGTAAGGCTATTAAAAAAATATGTAGTATGAGTACTTTCATTGGCTAATTTTGTTTGTTCATTTGTTTGTTTTTTTGGTTTTGTTTTGCAGGGGGACAAGGTTTCTCTGTACAAAATTCCTATTTCTTTGTCCCTTTGTCCGGAACTCACTTTGCAGACTAGGTTGGCCTCAGACTCACAGAGATCCAATCCACCTACCTCTATACTGGTTTTAAAGATGTACACTATCACTGGTCAATAGCTAATTCTTAAATATCCTACTGAATAATATAATTTTGAGTATCAAATCACTAGTGTTAGGGTGATATTCATACCCATTTTATATAATGGAAACCTAGGGCCTAGATAAAAATGTTGTATTAAGAATTGTGAAAACATTTAGTACTTCCAGCTTCTATGGGATATCATCTACCACTGTGAGCAGTAATCATTTGACACAATGCATTAAATATGCCAAACAGAATAGAAAGTCCTTGTTCCCACAGAGGTCAGTCTCAAAGCATTAGTGACTAACAAAAAAGGCAGTCCCTGAGAAATCACCGAGCAGTGCCAATAAATTAGGATAGGCTGTTTGTTGATTTGTTTATTGTACTTAGGCCTGTTTTCAGATAAGGTCATGGAATTAACCTTTGATTCTCAAAAAGAAATAGGACTAGTTTGATGTAAAATGTAAAATTAGGGTCATCCCATAAGCACTGACTTTTAAGTGATGATTCAGAAAGGACCACAAAGAACCATTTGGAAGAAGTTTATAAGAAAGGAGACTTTGAGAGCTGAACTAGAAAAGGTGCTTGAACGTAAATCAGACTCTGGAATATGCAAAGTTATGGCATTTATTATTATGTGCAGAGTATGCAGAGTTTTGAACTAAAAGCTAGAGAAGCAAAGGTCTAGAAACTCTCGTGCATAGTAAATAAATTAACACTTTTTTCTGCTTTCCATATAACTTACATTTGGTGATTTATTCTTGTAGGTATGCACCAGTAAAGTGTGATGAACCATGTGTGAAGCTACTTTTTTGTGCATGTGACTAAGACATAGGCCTCAGGGAGCTTATTGTGGTGTGTGGTCACAGCCAGTCTTTCATAAACCAAAAGTTGTTCAGGAAAAGGGGAGGAGTGTGTCTACTTTTGACTGTCAAGCTTCTGAACTTACTAAGCTCAGTTTTCTCCTCTAATAAGTCATGGTCTAATGATCAGATTACTAGCTGTTCTAAACGAGACTTATATTGGTCTGTTATATGTGCAGTGCCTAGGCCTTCTGTATACTCGAAAAGCATAGGAAATTTCATTGACATATTTTTACCAAAACAATACACAGAATAAAGAAATTATTTTATCATAAGCAGGTCACCAGTTCTTGAAATGTCTACCCTTGAAGAAAAAAGTACATATTATTGGAATCCTATCACCAAGAAAATGGCATAGTAATCTGTTTATTTAAAAAAGAAAAGAAAAATAATAATCTGTTTGAGTGCCAAATAGAAATTCTAACTTCAGCTAGTTATCTTTGTTTTTTAATGACTTTATTCTTTTCCCTATTCATTTATTTATTACATGTCTACTATATACTAACCATTTAGTGTGAAGGGAGAAAGCAAACGGCCTAAGTTATGCAAACCTTAAATATAACTACATGTTTGTGTGTGTTCATATGCTTTTTAAAAGAGCATGTCTGTGACAGGGAGTGAAGGATAGCATTGTCAGGGGACAAATTAAAGAGACACGATGTAATTATCCAAACTGGAATTAAGCCAATTAATAACCTGTGTGCTAACACTGCCCTCAAAGTGCTAAAAATAGCATCGGATACTTAAATGCCCTAGGTGGTCATGGTCAGTAGTCTTCCCCTCACCCAGTCTCAACACTGCCAGGGTGTGTGCACCCCAGCTTGTGGACAAGGACTGCCTGCACCTGAGAGGCACCAATGAGATAATCAAAACTCTCAAGCATCTCAAAGGTAACGATGATGAGATTTGTATTATTTCCACTGAAATTTTTAAATGCATTTTATTCATTTACTGTTCATTTAATCTACCAGTTTGTGAAACCTACTGGGTGCCAGGATAGCACTGTTGCAGAGAATGCAGGCTTAGGGTCCTATTGCCTGGGTTTAATCCCAGCTCTGTTTACAGCCCTGTAACTTAGCAAATCTCATGACCTCACTGTAGTTGAGACTCCTCTGCTATGAAATGAAGGCACTGGAGTATCTAACTCACAGTGTTGCTGTGACAGTAATTTATAATAGAAGTGCTGAATCCAAAGCAACTGTCCCAGAATATACTGGGTGTCGTCCTTATTGTGAGCCAGAAAATATTCCTGAATTTGAGAATAATGAATTTTGTGGCTTTCAGATAACTAACAACTTGTAAGTTTGTATTTTAGAAATTTAGGGTTTGAACTTTCCTGATCTCCACTGCCAGCCCTTTCTAGTATAAGTCTGCATCTTCCATCTCTGCTTTTCTGTTTGGTTTTAAGTCCTGAGCTGCCAGGCTTTGGATAGAATATACTCAGCACACCCATAGTTCATAATTGTGCTTATTTAACCTTCTTATCAAGCCTTTCTCGCTAACTACAAGGTAGTAACAAGTCTGTGTACTTTCCTTATATTAGTTTAGTATCTTCAACTGGGCCAGTATCATCACTTTTTACAGATGGGAAAACTGAGGCTCTGAGCAAAGCTGTGCCTCGTGAAATGTTATACAGCTGTGTTTGCTGTGAAGCTTGTGTCCTCCATTTGCAGTGTGCCAGCATGCATTTGTAAACGGCTCCCTTCCCTGCCCTGCCTTGTCATATAATTTGAGACCTGCAGGAGCATAAGCCAATGTCAAAATCATTTCTCTCCCCCCCCCCCCGCCCCTCCAAACTGACTGGGGACCTTGTATTTCCAGCTAGTCACAGCAGCTATTGGTAAAGAGGTCAGTGTGCAAATACACAAAATCACTTTGGCTATGACTTCTTTCCAGTGCTTGCTTTTAAGTGAGTTCCAGGTGCCTGACATTTCTTTCGGTTTTCTTCTTTCACCCTAAGTAGCACTGTGTTACTGAAGCATGACTGACAGATTTTGCTTTTATATACATCATGGTTCTTGTTTTAGGATGAGAGGCTTAATCTCTCCAGTAACATCTGATGGCACTGTTCTTTTTATAAGCACCCCATCCTTTAAAAACACACACCCTCAATTTTCTGTTGTCAAGAGAGGGCTCCTTAGTAAATGTGATCATGTGTCCCCGAAAAGATGTAATCAAATTCATGATCAAATAATACAATTGCCCCCCTTTTATTTTTGGTGGCATGTTTCAATTGAATATATCAGAAAAGTTGCCCATAGCTAATTGTCTAGGTAGGAAATCTCATTAGTAATTTAAAACTCTATCATAAACTGAAAGACTCAATCTCATTCACCCATACAGTGCCTGTATTCTAGAAATGTGTTGTATGAAAAACCACCTCTTCTTACATGGTGGCACACAGCAGATGATGTTCACCCAGGAGAGTCTGGGTGAGGTCTTTGCAGATCAACCCACTGCCTGTGTTAGTTTGAAAATGTAGCACAACCTATGCTTTGCTCTGACTGGACTCCATAATGTTACATTTGTCTGCCCTACTCTGAGAATGAGTAGGAAAAAAAAAAAACTTACTTTCCCTTGGATATAGACATCTGGGGAGAAATGGAGGTTTTTGTACTAATTCTTTGGATTGAGGAATCTTGTTATCCTAGAGGCAAGGGTAATTTTCATCTGTTGGACCAGAATCTTTAAGGAATTCTGGTGACTTGGTGATACATGAAACAGCTTTCCAGGCTTCTAGAACTCTAGGTTCTAGCATTAACACAGTTATTGCCTTTGTGATTTATTGCTCCAAGGTTTTGGGCCTCAGTTTCCTCCCTTGCTGAATGAGGGATGGGAGAGGTTCATCTGTAGGTCTTTTTCCAGCTTTGTATTCTCTGGGTCTGCAAATCGCCTTCAGTGTCTGCCGTAGTCTGCCTTACCAGCTCTGTTTGTCACAAAGATTAATCCATTTTAACTGTACCTTGGAGTGCACCCGGGAGAGGAGGATGGATGGATTGTTTTGCACCTATTATTGCATCAGAACTTTTGCCTTTTAGACAAGATCGTGCCATGCCTAAAATCTGTCTGCCTGTCTGCCCACTGACTCTGTGCTGATCTCTTTCCATGGTACCTCTTTCCAGCATCCATCTCCCTCCAAGATCTAGATTCGGCATCTGACTGTACCTGTCTTGTTCTCTGCAGCATCTGTCTGCTACACTCCTAGACCATCGTTAATAAACTTTCACACATGACACACAACCTCCCAATATGCTGGCACCTGCTTACAAATATCTACAATTCATAAAACCAGGGGAGAAAACTGCATTTTTTAAAAAAAAGACCTCTATCTAGTGCCATTTGTATCTGCACTTTTTGTTTAGTTGTAAGTTTTAATAGTTCCCCCTTTGAGGGTTTGTCAGTACGAGCAGTATTGCTTATCAGAACACACCAACAGTCTTTTTGTAATATTCGCTTTCCCCTCTGGTTCAGCCGAGCCTGCTGACAGATCATTCAAATTCAATTGTTTTATGTCTAAGCCGAACAGCTAATTAAAGTAGGGATGATTAACCTGACTGGCAGTGTCGCTCTCCCTCTCGCGCTCGCTCTCTCTCCCTCTCCCTTTCTCTCTCTCCCTCCCTCCTGCTCCAATCAGTCTTTTTCTCTCACACTCTCTCTCCTTCTCGGTGTGTCTCTGTCTCTCCCTCTCTCTCCTCCCTCTCTCTTCCTCTCAGTCTCTCTCTCCCTCCCTCATTTGCGCTCTCTCTCTCTCTCTCTCTCTCTCTCTCTCTCTCTCTCTCTCTCTCTGTCTCTTGCTCTACTGTTTTTTTTTTCCTCTCTCTCTCCTAAACGTGGTCTGCTTGCTGATGGCAGAATGGCACTCGGAGATTTGTGCATTGTGTCTGGTTTCCTACGGGCAGGCTGACCCAGTGCCTCCAGGGACTTATCAATAGACCACTCAGAAGAGACACAGACAGGAGAGAGGAGGAGGGGTGGGGGGAGAGAGAGAGAATCAATATCAAGAATAGAAGGAGCTCCGAAGCCATTTTTTTTTTAAAGAAGTATCGGGACTTGGGAGAGGGTGACAAAGAAGGTTTTTCAAAGAGGCAGTGGAGGAGGTTCTAATAAATTTGGAAGGAAACAGTTCCCTGTCTTGGGAAAAGGAGAACTCCTGACTGATTAGCATTCACACCAGGTATGAGATGTTCTACCCCTTATCACTGTGTCGAAACCGAGGTGGAAAGGCTTTTTTTTTTTTTTTTTTTTTTTTTTTTTTTTTTTTTTTTTTAAGGAGACTAAGGGAGCATGTATTTTGCTGTGTTTGTTGTTGGGGGGTTAGAGGGGCGGCGTGAAGCTGTGGGCATTTGTGTTTGGGAGCAGAGAGAATGGAAGCAGTACACGGGGTGGGAGAGAGTATGGAGTGTGTTACTGTCTTCCCTGTCTTTGTGCACCCCTGGGGGGTACCCAAGTTCATTTCTAGCAGGTGGATTTAGAGGGGAGTTACTTAACGCTTGACCGCCAGTTTTGAAAAAAAAAAAAAAAAAAAAAAGAAAGAAAGAAAAGAGAGAAAAAGAAAAAACGCTGCTTCCTAGGGTCTGTTAAAAAGGAAGCTCCAATTTCTCTCCTCTCTCTCTCTCTCTCTCTCTCTCTCTCTCTCTCTCTCTCTCTCTCTCTCCTCTCTCTCCCTCTCTCTCTCCCCCTCTCCCTCTCTCACTCACTCTCTCTCTCCTTCCCTCCCTCCCTCTCTCCCTCTCCCCCATCCCTCTTCCCCTCTCTTCTTTTTTTCCTCTTCTAACCAGACAGCGGGAGGGTTCCTGGCTCCCAGCCAGCCCAAAAGCCTCTAAGTGTTTTGCACTTGTTTCAGGGAGTAGCTGCCCGGGGATTTTTCAGCATTTTCACTGGAGAACAAAGAGTTCTTTACAAAGGGAGGGGGGGCTTAATGTCTGATATATGTTTTTCTATTTTTATTAGTTTTTTGCCTGAAAAACAGAAAGACAGGAACAGAACATTACTCTATAAAGACACAAAGACATTCAAAAGAAATCTACTTATCTTTTCTCTCCATCACCCCTACATATATACATGAAAAATTAAAAGGAATGACTAATTAAGTTGGCTGTGTTGCTCTTTTCTCCTTTTCCAATCTTTCTAAATTCAACTGTTCCTCTGCTCACTCTGCTGTTCTTTCCTGCTCACAGTAAAAGTTGCCCAGGATGCACCCTCTCTTAGCATGTCTCTACCATTTTTGTGTCCCTGGAATCTTGTAGGAGAAACAGCAAGAGCCCATCAAATAATCAATTTAGTAGCAAGAACACCCTCTACTTTTGCCACTTGGATAAAAAGTTAATTATGGGATTTGAGCTCCCCAAATACCAATGGGGTACATCAGTTCATTTGATCTCGCAAGTTTTTGCATCCATCTGCTGAAAAAGCATCACTGTGTCACTTGTCAGTTAAAAGAGAAGGTAGTAAGGGGGTAGGTAGTTATCTTTTATATTTTGTTTCTATGACATAAATGACCAAACCCCCAGAGACATTACTTGTCCTTTCTATGATATATTAGTTCAAGAAAAAATAGCCTAGACAGAGGTTTTTCAACAATTGTGATTGCCACGTAGCTTTGTATTCTGTTTGATGTTTTGCCTATGCGTGTGTATTTCCACTATGAATTTGTGTTTGTAGCAAACATTCCAGAATTCTTATCATTTTCAAATTAATCCTCTAGCAAGAGAAGAGAAAAACCAGAATGTAAACTGTGTGTGCAAAGTGTATTAAACAGTTGTATATCTTTTTATACTTGTTGTACATTTATATTTTCATACTAATATCCTTCAATTATAATCCCAAGGAAATGATTTATTTCCAAAAGTTCTACTTTGTAATGCATTTATATTTTGATTGTTGTTTAGAAATCTTTGGAAGGTACATAATGGACACCAAACTGAGCAAAGGGTAAATTGCTACAAGCACCTCAAAAACCAAAAACCCAGATTAGCTGAGCAGCTAACCGCACAGAACTGTGGCTCAGAGGAGGCAACTACAACAGTTGCTCACGAATCAGAAACTCTTTCCTCCTTTCTTCCTCCCATTTATGGAAAAAATGTAATCTATTCATTATCCCTGGGAGGGGAAACTATAGGAAATACTACAGACGTATACATTTTCCCATATTTATGAAATGTGTGTCTCTCTGTGTTTCTTAAGGGCACAGTGTTTATGGGGCAGAGGGCAACGCCTCACTAGTCAGCCCTCCTGGCTGGGAGGTCCGAGTGCCTTGTGTTTGAAGTAACTTGATAACAAGGAGTCTTTTCGGGAGCCCTTCTATGTGTATGCTCCTTCAGTAATGACCCTCAAATTAAACCTGGCACTGGGTGGCCGAGCTAGCACTTGACCTCATGGAAATATACTAGAAGTAGGGGAAGTTAGGCAAATCCAAAATTTCTAGGCTAGATCACTTGTTACAGTTACATGTTTTCTTGAGGAAAATTCTTGAATTACACTCAGATGTCTATATTTTTGTAGCATTTGTAATGCTTTTAATAGTGCTTGAGGAGTAAATGATCTTAAAATGAAAGTCAGCCATCAAAAATAAAAGAAACTAAGTCTTTAAAAGTTTTAGATTGAAAGCAAGAGGTTTGGGAATTTTTTCCCTCCCCCTTTGCCCCCAAACCGGACTTGGTTTCTTTTTCTTTTCCTTTCTTTTCCATCCTGAACCCTTTTGTTGCTGCAGCTGTTGTACCTGCATATTTTGATTTGTGTGTGTGTCTCTTCTCTCCACCCTTCCCCTCTCCCTCTCTGGCGTTTGATGTGACCAGAGTGTTTTCTCAGAGGGACAGAGGGACCAGGAAGAGGCTGTTGCTGAAGGCAGCAGTGGCTCCCTTCATCCAAGGCAGGCAGCTCCCATGAGCTAGCTGTGCCCCCGTCAGAGCACAGGGAAAGGTGATAGCTGTCATTCGTGGATTCTTCGTAGATCTGACCTGAGAGTAACACATTCACAGTCGAGGAGAAAGGGGAAAAATAGAGGAGGAGGAAAGAAAAGCTCTTTGAGCTGGAATACACTGGCCCTTTCTTCCTGGAGGCAATCCGCTCTGGTTCTTGGCGACGTGTCCTGCACTATCAGATATCATATGACTTTTTATTTAGATTTCTTTTTGGAGAATGGCCTGTTAGGACTCTGTTTGTTTTCTTTTATTTAATTTCCTTCTCCCTTCACCCGCTAGTTTTGTGTGTGTGTGTCAGAGTGTGTGCACGCATGCATATGTCTGTGCAATTTTTATCTTTGTTTTTGTTCTAATGATCTGATGCTTTATTTAAGGACAAAGCTTTAATTATTTCAGTATAGTGGTTTAATCACTTGCCAAAAAGAAACCTCATTCTGGGATTTTTGGGGGGTCCATTTTTAAACACATCCATTAACACAGGAGGCTGCAGCTGCTAAATGCCTGCTGGTCAGACCTTGGCCCACTCCCTCACCTTCATGTTCCCCTCCTCCTCAGCAGCCTGCCCAGCACTGTGAATTAGGAAACACCTGTGCAGAGTTGGGAGGGAAATAAAAGTAGAGGCAACTTCTCCAAATCCGCACTCCTAGTTTCACTTTAATAAACTTTTTTTTCAATCCTCGATTTTTATTTTATTTTATTTTATTTTTTGTGGCACTCTCTGTTGAGCTTGAAAACATCAGAGATAGTTAAGGATATGTCTGGAGCTTTTGTGAGGCCAGCTGAGCGCCACTGGAAAGTGGAGCAGGAGTTGCAATCCATTCAGAGACTTAAGAACTAAGTAAGAGGTTTAAAGAAGGTCTTTCAGATCCGTGGGCTGTTCGTTCTGGGTTTGGTGAGAGATGATAAATGGGATATTTAGGGTATTCGAGACAGAGGAGAAATTCCCAAACAGGAGAGAGACAGGCATTTCTGCTTCGATTAGTATTTTAAAACCTTAACTCAATCAAGTTTTTTTGTATATCTCAAAATTTCACTGACTATAATGAGTGATTGGCTACCTTTCCACACTTGCTATGAAAAGCAGCTACACTGACAGGTATTGCTGAATTTATCCTAAAATTTGATGTATTTCTGTTTTACTTTTGAAGAGTTCAGATTTTAGTTAGAAAAGAAAAAACATAACTTCTCTTGATATGCATAAGATTGTCTATACATTATTCTTGCCATACAGAACATACTAGATCCTGATTGTGTGTGGATGTGTGTGTGTGTGTGTGTGTGTGTGTGTGTGTGTGTGTGTGTGTGTGTGTGTAATAACACACAAGACTGCCTTAAAGGGTCAGGTGACTGCTACATGCTTTAGATCTGTAGTTTTTAGTTTCTTGTGACTTGCTCTGAAATTATTCATCATGAACCTTTAATGTGCAATGTCTTTTCATAACCAATTTTGTTGAAACTTGAAGAGAAATTTATTCCACCCCTTTAAGAGTACCCAAAAGGGAAGGGAGAACTATTCTCCTTCGGCTCAAAAAAAAAAATTTTTTTTTTAGAAACCTTTTTCCCCCCAACGGAAAACTCCAAAACAGCTCTGTCTCAGAACATTAAACTTGGCATGGATAAGAAATGTGAGTTTTGCTTTGTTTGAGGAAATTTGTTTTTGAGACAACAATGTTATAAATATTTTTAAATTGCCTGCTGAGCATGCGCTGTCTCTGACTTTATTCATAGTTTTAAATACACACCAAAGTGCAGTCTTCTGAATGGCCACAGGTAAGGCTGTCGATTTGTGTGATCCTTCTCTGAGGCACCTTCAGTGAGTCTACTCTGTTTTCCACAAGGAAAGGGGGCAAGAGCTGAGTTCAGACCTGGATATACCCTTCTAACTATCATAGAGAAAAAGTGAACTGCCTACTAAGGCTTGCACCCTGTACTTAGGGTAAGTACTATTCAACTTCTTTCCTATGCAAGTTGCCTGCCTTAACTTTCCGGCTTAGTACTAATAGAGAGTACATGGAGAAAAAATTAACTCAATGAGGAATTTGACTGAAACAGAAAATTTGCAGATTTTTAGGGACATCTATTGTGCATAAATTTAGGAATATGTGAATTTGCCAGTAAAATGCTGGAAGCTCAGTGCTTACAGAGCAAAGATGTGCTAGTCTGAACATGTCTGATCTCATCTGGAATCGAAAGCTAAATCTAGGTGGGCCTGTAATAATACCAGAAAAGGAACACATGTATCTTTTGTGCAAGC